TGACTGTGGGATCCATCTAGTTTCCTGATTAATGGGAATTGCAGGGTTTTTTGTCAGTGGTAAAGTGGATTGGGCCACCCTTCTCCATATTGTGCTGAGGTCAAGAAAGAAGGAAGTTGTACCTCCAGTCCATATATCTTCATGACATGATGCATAATAAGCACCAAGCACAGCTTCGCATTTACATTTGATCAAGTCCTTTCCAACCGTCAAGAGATGTGTTCTAGGTACTTTACGAGAAGTTAATAAGTTACTTCCGTATAAATAGTGTGTATTTTACAGTAATTCCCTGACTCTTGTACTTTTACCTTATTAACTAACAAGTTGGATGACTACCTATATAAAAATCCACTTTTGTAGTTGTGTAATTCAGAATGTTTTCTACTTGAATTTCTTGTAAGACTTTTGTTACAGCATTACATACAATTTTATATTATAAACCCCAGTTTATACAAAATAATATATTAAAATGGTTAATCAGTTGTTTTTTAGTTCTCATCAGACCTTAGAGACTTTGAACATAAATCAATAGATTTATGGGATTTCTGTACCAGTATGATGAGTCATTTTCCTTTCAAATTTTGCTTCCTCAGTTTTAACTGAAGGAGCTTAATACATCTGTTACAAAGATACTGGAGTTAAGTTGTAATTAAAAAATATTATGAATTAAATGTTGAAATATGTAAAATCTGCTAATTAATTGATGCATTTTTTATTATTATGAGCAACAGAAGAATTTAAAGAAAAGGGACCCAATGCCTTGCTGTCACATTAACACACTAATCAGGAAGAGGTGGTGTATTGTGCAGATATATTCCATAAATTGTAAAGTAATTTATAGATATTTTTGACGCAGTCTTTTTTGTGTTGGTAATATTTCATTTGATAGTCAGTACTAAGTTAATATTACCATATTCTCTGGACTTTGAGACACATTCAAATTGTAGAGAGAAATATTCAAGGTTAAATCTGCTATACAGGTTTTAGGCTGCATTATCCAGGAAAAAATGTCACCTCCAGAGATATGGTACATGATGTAATAGGATTTCATTTAATAAGTATATTATTAGCTACAAGTCATGAAGCTTTGTGTATGTTTCTGATTTATGTAGTTTTAAAACAGTTTTATTATTTCATGTAGGCTAGTCTGCTGTAAGAGTTTTAAATACATTGTAGGATTTGAGGTTCTCATGGCGGTGAATACAAAGATGGCTGTCTTCTGGGTTGCAGTGCCATGTAGGCTGGTAGAAGTTTACCAACTTTTCAGAGGTCCTTGGTGCCTCCATCATCAGATGACAGTGCTACAACACAGAAGATAGCCATGTTTTTTTAATAACTTGTTCAGAATAAAACTAAACTTTGGGTACCTGACTTTTGAAGTTGTTCATCACCTATGATAAATTGTGGTCTTGATATTAGTATTTTGAGCATGATATGCAGTAGTGGTACTACCTTGTACATGATGTAAGCTTCATGGTAACACCTATTATTGGAGTATATTATTTAGTAGTCATATGATACCAGGAACACTTCAGTTGTTACTTGCTTGAGAATAATGTTGCAGAACAGTTTTGTTTATTCATTAACTTCTTTATTTTTGTATATTATGTATGTGTAATCACTGCTTTTGATTGAGATCTGTGTGTGTGTGGGGGGGGGGGGGGCATAATTGGAGACTGGAGGGGAATCCAATAACACACAATATGGAATGTTATTCAGTTTTTGTGTGAGTTTTTAGAGTTAATACAGTAATAATGTTGCAGTTATAATCATTTACAGGGGGAACTAAGCCTGCAGTTTTAACTGTTGTTTGTCTGATACCAGTTGAGTATTTTGATGTTTGTACGTTGCATATTCCATGTGTCCATTAACATTTACTTTGACCATAGGACTGGTTTTTAAAGTGCAGAGAAAGATGTTAAATATTTTTAGCTTACAAAATATTATTATTCATGGCTTTAACACTTTCATGCTATGAATGAAATATATAATTTTTAAACAAGTCTTTGTTATCTGTTGTGTATGGAATCACTGATGAAAAGATAATTGTCCTGTCATCTGTTAACACTCTCAGCTACAATTTGTATCATATTTTAATATTCAGTGTGGAAGAGGTTAAATTAGTTTTAATGTTAACATCTGCAAAGAAAAATAAATTTGTAGAATTTAGACTGATAAATTAATCATTACTGTATGGGGTATATTGATGTTTATATGTATATGAACAAATTACTTTTGCTATGGCATTTTCTTAAGCTTCATATATTGAAACTTTATTTATATATGTCATGGCTGTAATTGCCTTTGGTTATATTTCTTGTAGGGCCTATATCAACATTTTAAACTAAAGAACATATCTTCAATATGTGGCATTAATTTTAACAATACATGCTCATTACATTGCTTATTGTAGTTCAGTTCTTATAACTGTTTTACCCTTGCTCTTGTCCTACGAACCACAATGCATATAAATTAATTCTCAATTTATATTTGTACAAATATTTCATATTAATCTGGTCAGGGATTCTTTCTAGCAGAGCATAAGGAAAAGAAGCTATTTTATGGATAAAAATCTTACAGTAATTTGGGCATTAAAAGAATAGATATTAAATGGCTAAGAATGTATTGTGCTTTATATAGCATGGTGCACACCAACATGGACTTCTTTAGAGCAAAGATATGGTGCTGTAAACAAGCTTGCACTAATCCTAGTTGCTGGGTCATCATAGCAGTATTCATGATGGTGCCTAGAATTTTTTTGCATATTATTCTGGTGATTTCATAACTTTGCATATTATTATTTAGTATTTTTAATGATTCTATCATTAGGTGGTAGCTTCACCATTTGTGAATAAATGTAACTTCCATTTCTGTGGTACAAATATATTTTGGCTTCCAGTTTTTGGAGGAAGCTCCTACATTTTTCTGACATTTGTGCAGGCCTGGTTATAAATATTATAATTTTTACCTTTAACACAATTTTACCTCTCTTGTAGGAATACTTTGTACTGCACAATAGTAAATGATGTGAGGACTTTTCAGAATATCAGACACATTCCAGGCTGTGCCATAGACCAAGCAGTTAGATGCTGGCTTCTCAATGCATAGGCCCAGGTTCAATACCAGGGCAATCTGTGTGGGATTAATGGCACAGAGTGGCATTAGGACAGATTTTTCTACAAGTGTGTCGGTTAATCATCATTCCACTGATGCTTCATATTCATCTGTCACCATCTCTGAGGTATGTGGTGGCCTGACCAGCTAACATGTTATCAAAATCTACTGGACGTGGAATAAGAATGTGAACTTTTTGACTTGAGATTATTCTCACACATAAAAAAAGGAAATATCTGTTTTATGGGTGACATTTTGGAAAATAAGTCTTTTCACTTTTATTTATCTTTTGTGAATACATCTGAAAGAAAACCACAAATTCACAAGTCAACAATAATAGAAATTCTATTAAAAATATGTTTTTCTTCAGATATATGGTAAATATAAGCAAAGTACCATATTATTCCTACAAAGATTATAACAATAGGTAACGCATTTTCATTATTACCATGCTATGTCATAACTTTACCAGTTGATATACTTTATGAAACTGTGAATAAAATTTTTCTCTGTTAACTGTACATTAAATGAGCAAACACAGTAAGTTAACATAATGATTTAAAATATTCTTATTCATTGAAATCTACCAAATATTAATATTATAATAATTAAATTAAGATAAGTGAAACAACACTTCAACATGCAGCCATTATAACTTGTCAAGGCTGGGAGAAGTAGTTAACAGTTTCCAATTATATGTTTAACCTCAAAACCAATATATTCTAAGTGCATAAATTGTTTGATTTCAAGTTCTTACAGTGGTGAGTATGAAAATGGCTGTCTTCTGGGTTGATGCACCACATAACACTGCAACAACCTAGAAGACAGTCATCATACAGATGCATAAATTATCAGCAGTCACAAAATGGGCATAAAAGATGTTCTTCGCATCTGTCCAAAAGAGATAGGAAGCCCTGTTATAAGAATAATGGAATATGTCTAACAGAAAGTTTATATAGATTTCTGTTGTCACGCATCAATTATAGCTGCCTTATATGGTCGATCCTTGCTAAACATGAGGGTTACGTTGCTATAAAACATTCTGATAAGAATTTTTTACCAGAATTTCACTATGGTAACAGAAAAAATTTCCATAAAACTTTACTTCTGATATGCCTCTTGGCTCAACTCAGAGTAAAGGAATTAACCTGTTTTGTGTGAAGAAGAAATCTGAACAAAGTGAAAAATATATTTTGGCTTGGTATGGCAGATACCCTACCCATATGCAAGAAGTATACTCTGGACTGGCATTACCTCCCACTTCAGTTTTACTCACCTGCAAACAATTACTAATATAAAGGCACTTTTACACAAATAAAAATGTAAGCTTGTAAAATAATGACTGTACATGTACATCTGGCCAAGTGAAATGTGCACTTATGCATAACAATACAATATTCTCAACTGTTTAAAATGCTTTTCTATAAAATTGTATATGCATTTATTTTTACTTTTAAAGCAAATAATATGCATTAACATTGGTAACTCCTATTTACACCAGATTTGAATCACATTAATCCCTGATAATGGAGGCTGAGACCTCTGAAATGTTGCAAATTCACTCCATATTGAAATGTCACAGAGCCTGAAAAAAAATGTCCTCTTTATACCATTTCTAACGTAGGAGTCTTAAGCACAACTATTCTGGGATTTGATCTGAACAAGGCACATATGAAATGTAAAGTAATGCATTATTAGTGATTTTGCATATGTCATTGGCCTTATTTATTTATTCCTATCCAGTGTCAAAATAACCATACTTCAGATGTCACAATGCACAGTCATATTATTTTTCATTTATTCTGTTAAATATTCACCATATAAATGTTTCAAATACAAGTTGTAGGTCTTATTAAGGCCTAAATTTCATGTTCTATATCGATGTTTTGTACAAAAAGTCAATTCTGAGAAAAGTGATTGTCTGATTTGATATTCATATAAAACATGGATTATAGACCAATACAAATCAAAATGAAATTTTATTAACAACTTTTAGAGTAGGCTTCCAACACCATATTTAATCAGAACCATTAATTTCATACACTTTGTACAAAGAACACACAAAATTTGAAGAGATAGGAGACTTAAACTGGACTTAATTTCAGGTAGAACTTCTTACTTTACGGCACAGTATTTCAGACTTAAGTTAAAATGTACTCACATATCCATCAGAATATATTACACCACATTACAAAAATATAAATCACATTTCAAGTAACTTATCCTTTGTTCTAAGTAAAACTGAGATTGATATTGCTTACTGACCATTTCTGTAAACAGTCACATGAGCATACACATTATTAAAATTAGCATACTTCCTGGAGTAGCACTCACACTCTATACTTGTACCTCCAACACTCATACAAAAACACATCATTAACTGCAAAATAAGACTGGAATACTATTCATTTGCTAATCAAATCAAACAACTTGTTGGAGGATTAGAAGTCTGAGATCCAACCACTTGACTACAAAATATATTTATTCAGTTCCACAATCTAATACAATTCATTTTAACCTCACAACCAATATAAACTGATATTACAACAAAAATTTATATGACTCTAGATGATCCTTATACACTTATTTAAATACTAGTAGATATACTTTCTATTGACATTTATTACTCTTTTCTCTTCAAACTATAAAATTATTCTGTTGTTACATAAATTATTAGTTACAACTCAGCATATATCAGTCATACAAGTGTGCTTAATGTATTATACCACCTAAATTGATTAGCATTTGTCTCATTTTGTAGCAAATAACAGAAATTAAATGTAATCAAATGTCTCACATCCACATAGAGTGATTATGTCAAGTGCTGTTTTATAAACAGCTGTTAATTTCAGGTAACTATAGGTATATACAACATTACTTATTGTCATAAACTTAATTCATCATTTTTGTTGTGGTCTCCTAAATACTGTACCATGTCAGAGTGATTAAAATTACCAATATTTTGAAGGCACTTGCTGCCTTCTTGATTGTCAAAATGACAGAGGAGTAGTGTTATAGTCATATATATATAGTGTCACAAAAATATCTATACACTCATGAAATAAATGAAATAGACATCTGAATAAACTAAACCATTACATATGTCAGCAGTGGCACTTAGTGAATCTAGTGTAGGTGTTCAAAATGACCATCAGCTTTGTGGCACAGTAGACAGCAGTGAGCAACTGAGTGACAAGCAACCACCAAAGTTGCTGCTGTATATGCACCTTTTTTTGGATACACTGTATATAAATATAAGACTATCATCAATTATGAATGACCAGAATGGTGTAAATATAATTGTGCACAAAGCAACTTAAAATTTAGGCAGGCCATAATGTGCCACTAATGTCTAGGTCAGTAATAAATGCTAGTTATATTCAGTTCATTTTTCTGTTCGTATGTCAAAATCTGTACATTTCCCACATTTAGAAACTAGAAATATCAGTAGCATTTCACATGTGTAAGGGGGAAGAGAATGGAGACAATGTTTTCTGTGGCAAACTACATTTTAACAGCAACCTGACATCAGTATAGACATTGACTGGGTAGAGCTAGAGTGGGTTTTGCATCAAAGTGCAGAATATGGTGGTTCGTTCCCTCTGCGGTGGTTTTTGATCTCATGTTGCCATTTCTTCGGCTAGGAAAGGTCAGGTACCTTCACTTTTACACTAATCTGTCTTTGCACATTTATAAATGACTGATGATATCATATAAAATGAAAAGTTATTTGTTATAAAAATTCTGTATTGTGGCTGGTCCCAATATTATTAAACAAATGGGACTATCCTGAATTTAGTTCAAGCAAACTATGTTGTTTCACCTGTCTAGGTAAATACATTAATCATTATACATGCCATCAATCAGAAAATCCATACGCCTATAATGTCTCCTTTCCCAGAACTCTGAACCTTTCTTGTACAGGAACACTGCCAATACAATAACCAGTGGAACAACGAAAATTATGGAAACAATTGGTATGACATAATCAGTCCTATTTAAGTTCTTATTCTGGGATGGGGACTGGAAAGACAAGTTTGCAGGCGAGTCATTAGCAGCATCCAATGTAAACAGTGGTTTCTTGTTCCTTGGAGATGGAAATGTAAAAGTAGCTGTACTGTTGAGTGAGCTGGAATTATGTTTATCTTGCTTCTCTAAATCAGAAATACTATCCTCAGATGTGAAATTGACAGCAGAAGGTGCAACAGATTCTGTGGGTAACTGGTTCACTGGATCAGTTGAATTACTTATACTAGATGTATTTCTATCATTCATTGCATCACAACATTTTCTACAGTTAATATCACTTTCGTTTCTGATGCTTGCACTTGAAGTATTTTTCAAACAGCAGACACATTTCTTGTTTAACAAAGTACTGTCCCTTTCCACATTTTCATCAGTGCTTTCAATACTTGAAATGGACATATCTGAACCATTTTCCTCAGCACTAGGATACACACCTTTTCGTGGAACAATTTTTGGTTTACTATATGCAACTCCTTTTCGAGGCACTATACCTGAACTTATGTTGCCATGATCAATACCCGAAATACTTGCATTTGAAAAACTTGGTCCTATACTGTGAGCGGGTTCTACATCGAAACGTGGAATGTCGTGATACAGTGTAACACCGCCCCCACCTTCCATGTTTACAGTATTTCCAAATGCTCTATTTCTCTCTGTGACATATGTACTATTAAGAAAAGAGTTATATTTCGACTCCACATCGTCTGTATTTTTGTCTAGTTTGTCTGCATTATTTTTAGTTGAAAACAAATTATGCAAATCTGTATGGAGTGGTTTATGATCAGTATCGTTTCCCGTGGCGAAGCTGTAATTCTGGGGTCCACCGTTGGAACATAGCACATGCAACTTTTCCTTTTGCCACAATATAAGCAACCACATTCCTATACATTTCAGTAAAATATCCATTGTGTTCGCTTACTGCTCGTTATTATTAAAGGGCGATCTGAAAAGGATTCCAACTACTATGACGAAAACAAAATCAAAAATTATCTGTCAATAAACAACACAAAACATCACTCCACGAAAACACAAACATCACCGTTATAACCTATAATCCGTGCTCGTTTGACTACATCAGTGCTCGTAAGACCCCAAGAACTATAGTCAAAACACAGTAAGCTGTTGGGATTGTGTGTGTGTGTTGAAAACATTGAATTAAAAAAATGAAAGGGCTCAGTAATTTCTCATACAACTATTGCCGGTACATATCAGAAAGGAGGAGGTATTGTGTATGGTTAGGAATGGAATGGTTCTTTTTTAATGACATTCATTCGCCTTTGTGAATCGGAGTTAGAAGCAGATATAGGCTGTAATTGATGTGTTATGGAAAACGTAATTTAATTAAGTAAATTATACTGTGACTATAATAAGTACGTAAACTGAAAATCGAAAGCGTACTGTAAAGAATAATCGAAAATATGCATTGAATTACTTTGTGGTGTTGTCTGCTGTGCCGAGAGAAAAGAAGTTGCTAGTTATCGCGTTTGTTATTTTCGAACATTAAAAATGAGGAGTCGAAGTAATTCAGGTGTTCGGTTGGATTATTACCAAAGAATAGTTCACAAGATAATAATGAATCACCAGGTATGTAAAGATTGTTGTGGGAGGTAATGTAACCCGTATATTATCTAATAGTGTGATTGACAATGAAGGCTTACTAGTGCTCTCCATTAGCATGTACACATTTGTGGCTGCCTGAAAGTCATTCCAGAATTCAATATTTAGTGTGTGGGAGGTCTGAAGAATGGTCGGCTTCATTTTCCAGCCTGTATTTTCCAAAAAGTGTTATTTTTCTTCCCAAACACTTGTCAGATGGGTCTGCACACTAGGATAACTTAACCTACCTTCTATGTATTAGATTTGCCCTGATTTTGTAGCCAGACTTTCCTATGATCTTACTAAAATTGTTGGTATTTTGGTTTGTACTTAAATGCAAGTTTTATCAGCCTTTGTTTTTGTTCATTCTGTTCAAGTGAGTTGACTATTTTTCTCTGTAATACTAATTTCTTTAATTACATGAATTCTTGTTCAGTTATGTATTACATTGGTGGCATCTAGTATAACTTTTTAATTCAAGATTCACCCCTCATGTTTCAGCTGCATGTCAGCCATCTTCAAGGGATACCACTGAATAATTATAAATCAATATAATATGAAAATGACAAAATGTAACCCCAAATATTTTAATTCATAGAACCAAAAAGATTGCATGGGATTGAGAAGAAAGGTATAAAGGATATTGACAATAAACAACATGCACAGACATGTAATATTTAAGAGTAATGATTTTGATAATTATGGTTTAAATTTAACAGTTTTGTAGTGTAAAATTCATAAGTTAATAAGATTAAGATTTATTATTTTTAATGATGATATGCCATCCACCATAATTTCCATATAACATTAGTTGGAGAATAAACCTTCAGTCTCCTCAATTTTTTCCATGTTTTTCCTTTGTAGTTATTACTTATGCTTTTGTGTAAGCAAGGAACACCTTTTGGGCCCATTCATATCTCTAAGTAAATAAAATGTATAAATATCGGCATTCTTGTCCATAAGTTTTCATGACTGAAGTTCAGTTGTATCGTCTGTGTATCCATGATGATGATATGGCCCCTGTTGAAAGAATTTACATTGATGGTCGTTATAGATGTTGTGTCATATGAGGCTAGTGCAAAATTTTCTTTTTAATTTCCTAAAATTGGTAATACCAACAGGATGTGCAAAGTTATAAGGCAGGATAATAATATTACCCACAATAGTTTGTGAATGTCATTCATTTTCTACCATACATACTCAATGGCACAGCAACATCCTAGAAGACCATCATCGTCATACTCACCACATGAACTGAAATCTCTCTGAATTTAAGATAATTATGTTTCATAAGATAACATGTTTTTCTTTGACACCCATCACTTTTGTTTTTGTTATTGATACTTTCATATTACAATAACTGCTAATGGTTCTGTGTATTGAAAATAAACTTTTTTAGTCCTCCAATTTATGAATGACTGTGAAGAGTAAAGTATACAGGGACTATTTTTCATTCATCTTAATACCTTGTTGCTCCCATTTTCCATAAAGTTTTACTGTGATAAAAATTATGTTACTCCTAGTTATTTCCAAGCATCTTGTGTTAGCTATGCTCTTTATGCTCATTCACTGAACATTTTGATTTAACTTAATATTTTATTTTCATAGAACCCTGTAACAGGTCTGTTACCTGCCAGCCCTCAAAATAATCATGCCTGGATTCGAGATAATGTTTACTGTATACTGGCTGTTTGGGGATTATCAATGGCATACAAGAAGATTGCTGACATGGATGAAGATAGAGCTAAAACTTATGAATTAGAACAGGTATGTAAACATTTTATTTATTTCTGTCTATACCAGGCATGTCAAACTCATTAATGCGTTATGCAGCCCTCGACTTAGCTCTCAAATTATACGTAATGTGTGGCCTTCAGAACAGTCACCTCTTCTTTAAGTGGCCCTTAGTAGATATTGATTTTGACTTTTCTAAATAAAATACATTAATGAAATGAAACTTGGTTAGTCACATTGAAGAATAGGATCTGTTAAACCCCACATTACCTGGTTACGCATTGGGATCCAGAAGGTAAGTGTGTATGTTTTTGTTAGGAAAGATCAAAGTTACAACAGACAAAGTTCTTTCATATGAATAAATGGTTTACTGCTAACAAACTGGCTCTAACCCTAGATAAAACAAATATAGTAAAATTTATAATAAATAATCCATCATGATATGCATTAATTATTGGTTAAGATGAAAAGTATATAGATCAGTAAATACAAAATTCCTTACTAGTTGATGAAAGACTCGTGGGTTACAAGCCGTGCCAGGTGGCTGAACGGTGAATAAACTATATCTTCTGCAGAGTTAAATGAAACATATTACACAGTTAGATCAGTTTCATATCAACAACACTGACACATTCAAATCTATTTGTATGTATTTTGCCTGTTTTCATGAAATAATTTTGGAGGTATTTTATCTAATGGTAGAATTATTTTTACATTATAAATAACACAATTTAGGATTGTGACTGATGCCAAACATAAATTTAGCATGTCTGTTTAAGATATTAGAAAGTTTACGTCTTCCTTATTTTCATTAATGAACTTCATTGTAGACAAGCAAAAACATATTCAGACAAATTCAGCAGTATACAATGTCAACACACAGAACAAGGATCATCTTCATAGACCAGTTACCAGCCTTTCATGTTTTCAGAAAACAGCATACTAGTACTATTCTGGCATCATCATTTTCAACAGTTTACCATCTGCTTTCCAAATATTTAAAAATTACAATCTTTCTAATGGTATTTTGTCTTACAGAGTGTAACTTTGTATGTATGGATTTAATGTAACATTTGAATAATTTAAGTAAAACCTTTATGATATTTTAAAAGGTATTTTTGTTTTCAGTTTTTATTACTTATTCCACATCTTATTGTCATTCTAACTTTGAATCCATGAAATGTATATTAATATGTGTGTATGCATATTTGTAATGGCATGTCATTTGAGGCATCCCATCTTGTATGTCATAAATTTCTACTATCAGCAGTACCATCTTGGCAGGCGTGTGAACTTTGAGATCTAAACAACACTAGTGCTTTTCAAGAACTTGAAGTTTTGTAGGGTGATAGATTGTTCATAAATACAGAACTTAGCTTGACTAAATAGTTTGGTTAGATAATGACAGCTGGTAGTTCATCATAACTTGATGTCTGAATTTTTTTTGATGTGTGCATGTATATATTTCTTATTTCCCTTATGTGTGCTGCGTGAAAAAAATACACCAGTAGTTGTTTCTCGTGCTCTGAAAGCTACACTGTTTGTTTCAGAGTTGTGTGAAGCTCATGAGGGGACTGCTGATGGCAATGATGCAGCAGAAGGATAAGGTGGAGAAGTTCAAGTCAACACAGAACCCTCTGGATGGTCTGCATGCAAAGTACAGCTCCTCCACTGGCCAAGCTGTTGTACGAGATGATGAGTGGGGGCATCTTCAGATTGATGCAGTGTCATTATATCTGCTTATACTGGCACAGATGACTGCATCAGGTGTGACATTACATGAAATTGCTAGTTGTTATGTTGCTTTATGTGTGTTAATAAATACACCTCAACTTGTTTGTACACTTATGCAAGTTGTATTTGTTTCCTTGTTTATGTTTATACTGAATCAAATGGAAGGGTAAATATGAATAGTGGTATGAAAATGATGAAGTATTAAGTTATGTAGTCATAATGAAGAACTCACATCATGACATGGGTCTGATATAGGTGTGTTAATAATAGTTATCTTTATGTTCTTAACGGTGTGTCTCTTGCAACAGATCAAAATATGTTAGTATGATGCAGATTTTTCAGATTACATTTTTTCTCCAATTCAATGGGCAATACCTATGATTATTGGTAAATGGAATAAAAATAATGGAGAGTTAAATGTTTATTCTATCTCTATCTCTCTTGCCC